GAAGAGAAACGAGAACTTACCAATTTAACAATAATTAAGTAAAACCTAGATGAGAAATTGGAAATTTCATTTATTCATAAACTATTATTCTTTGATCTTTCTAACAAAAGTAATAGCAGATACATTCACGTTGTAAACCCTGACCACCACATTTAGCACTTTGGAATTTGCCTTTTGGAACTGCATCTGGACAAATATCATAGCAAAATGTTGGATCAATTGTTTCACATCCTTGTCCTACGGGGATCTCTTTTTGGCAAATGGAGTCAGCATGGATTGGGGTAACAGAATCACCTACAAAAATCAACAAATTTAACAGTATATGTTATAAATCCAGAAAAAAATGTTTTTTTAAATTTAAAATCATAACTTAATCTTTTAGTATACCTTTATTTAGTATTGTTATCCATTTATAACCCGCACAAAAATTTAGACAATTTTATGTTATATCATACCCTTTTATTCTAATTAAAAAAATTATATGTTTCAATTGCTTGTTTTTTAATTCATCATTTATAAAAATCACCATTTGCTAATAGGTTTCATCATTTAGGAACAAAGAACGATCATATTATTAATACAGAACTATAAAACCTGACTTGCTAAATAACATTATAAAGATACTATAAAATAACAGAAGTGATAAATTAAAAACTATACATACTAGAAGTAGCAACTGCAAAGGCAATCAAAACTACGAACACGGAAAGGAACTTTGTCTCCATTGTTATTATACAATTTAATGGGTGTGAAACCTTTACAGCAAATAATATGTCTATGTCTTGAGCGCCCTCCTATTTATAGTGAAATGTTCATGAAATTAATATACACCACTAATACATGTATAGTAAGTTAATTAATTTAATTCCAAACTAATATTTATATATATGGGCATTCACAAAAAAGAAAAATATTTATAACATACCAAAATTTAGTAAATGATATTTTAAAGTATTAACTTTTTAGGCATTGGTGATTGAATAACAATATAGTAAAGGTGAAATAACATTCCTAGCTAATAGCAATGACTTGATTCTAGTCATATGTAAAAGTAGTTTAATATTTAAACTAGATAAGTCTAAATTAGCAATTAGTTTTTTGAAAAAAAGATACAAGTTATTTGCAAATTTAATACCCTTACATTAATACATAAAAAAAGTAAATTTCTAATGCATCGACCATTTCCTTGAAACATATTGATGTTTTTTACTTTTTCGTTGATTATATAGTCATATTTTTAAAAAATGACTTGTACTCGCATTAAAATTTGAATTTGTATGATTCTATTTATTTTTACTAGCTCATTTATAAAGGGTCAAATAGGCCCCTGAACTGACTTAAAGTGTTCAATTAGCCCCTTATATAGGAGGTTCTGCCCGTCCGTCACCAATTGGGGCGGTTCCCGGTGGAATTTTTTGATGAAAGTTTTTGAGCTTCTTCTTCATTAAGTATAGTTTACTCATACCAAATTTCAGCTAAAAATTCAATCGGGAAGGCAGCCAAATGAGTTTTTGAAGATAACTGCGAGGTTAAACAGCGCAGTACATTTCGGAGAATCATTTGACTGCCTTTCCGGATGAAATTTTAGCTGAAATTTGGTATGGGTAAACTAGACTTAATGAAGAAGATGATCAAAAAAATTCATCAAAAAATTCCATCGGGAACCGCCCCAATTAGCGACGGCCGGGCAGAACCTCTTATATAAGGGGCTAATTGAACACTTTAAGTCAGTTCAAGGGCACCAGTATATGTATATAGATTTAAATGTTGATCAAATTAATTTCAATCTGTAATATTGTTGATGAATGACTTCTATATAATTGTGACCAACTAAAAATACAATAAATTAATTTTAATTACTAGTTATGACTTTCATTTTAAGATTGAGAGTAAAGTGTATGTACCGGAATATCACACATTAGAAATACAAATAATACCCAAATGGTCTTGAATTTATACTTTCTCTTATAAGCAGGGGCTGTTAAGACACGGGGTTCCATCCTAAAAGGTCAACCTATTAGGAGTAGCCCGTGTGTTAATATAGCACTTCGTTCATCCAAACTTTTCCGGTGTGGGACATTTAACACCCCTCCTCACGACCAGACACTTCGTCTGGATCGTGCCATCATTCATTTTTTTTCATCGGTCCGTTTTTTTCATCCGGCCGTAATTGTCATTTTTTTTATAAAACATTTTTCATAAGGGGCCCCACACCATGGATCGATTTGGCTCTGATACCATGTTAAGACACGGGGTTCCATCCTAAAAGGTCAACCTATTAGGAGTAGCCCGTGTGTTAATATAGCACTTCGTTCATCCAAACTTTTCCGGTGTGGGACATTTAACAGGGGCGGACCCACTAAGGGTCCCACGGGGTCCCGGGACCCCGTGCACCTCGAAAAAATTACCTATATATATTATATGTATATTATATCAAATTAATTTTTACATGTATATTTACACGAAAAATGAACTAAGAACCAAAGGAACGGAGCAGGCAAACGGGAGCAAGCAGAGGTTTAAAGTTTCATGTTGCGGTAGGTACCACGTTCAATTCCCCCTGGGATCTGTTTTTTTTTTCAAAACTATTTTAATTAGATAGACCAAAACTACGTCATTTTGTCTATGCGTTTTTAGACCTACGCCTCTTCACAAGTTCGACGCTCTGCCTCCAGTCGACCACCAGCCGCGCCCACCACTCCACGCGCTCACGCCCAGGTTTTTTTATTGTTTTTCTCTTTGCTGCTTTGCATATCTTTTTTTAAATGTTAGATTAAATTAATAAATGTATGTATTTATAAATGTTATTTTCAATTTTATACGATTTAGGATGAAAAGATATTTTGGTGTTGTACCCAAATTTAAAGAAACTCAGACTACCGGAAGTAGTTCAGGTGTTAATTCAAATGATTCGCCATTAACAGATGAAGAATTGGATCAAGTAATTGGTGAAAGTGAAGCTAATTTGGCTTATAATATACCTGAACAACATGAGGTTTTTTATTAGTTTTATATGAATTAGAGATTGGAGATATAAAAGGGTAGGGATCCCGTGGCTCCAACTTTCTGGGTCCGCCACTGCTTATAAGTATAGAGGTAACCAACAATATAAAAAATAAAAGTGTTTGACCAAACAGAAGAGTGTTACTACTACCATTAAGATTATGCAAAATACGTTAATGATCAAACAAAACGTTATGGGTAAAATAAATAATTTCCCATTGAGAAAAGGGTTGAATATACTAATAATCATGAAAAAGAAAAAAAAAATATCACATACCAAAATTTAGTCAATGATATTTTAACGTATTAACTTTTTAGGCATTGATTGAATAAGGATATAGTAAAGGTGAAATAACATTCCTAGCTAATAGCAATGACTTGATTCTAGTCATGTAAAACTAGTTTAATATTTAAACTAGATAAGTCTAAATTAACAATTAGTTTTTTTGAAAAAATGATACAAGTCTTTTGCAAATTTAATACCCTTACATTAATACTTAAAAAAGTAAATTTCTAATGCATCGACCATTTCCTTGAAACATATGGATGTTTTTTACTATTTCGTCGATTATATAGTCATATTTTTAAAAAGAATGACTTGTCCTCACATTAAAATTTGAATATGTATGATTCTACTTACTTTTACTAGCCTGTTTATAAATTCACCAATATATGTAGATAGATTTAAATGTTAATCAAATTAATTTCAATCTGTAATATTGTTGATGAATGACTTCTATATAATTGTGAGTTGTGACCAACTAAAAATACAATAAATTAATTTTTATTACTAGTTATGACTTTAATTTTAACATTGAGAGTAAAGTGTGTTTTGGAATATCACACATTAGAAATACAAATAATACCCAAATGGTCTTGAATCTATACTTTCTCCTATAAATATAGAGGTAACCAACAATATAGAAAATATGTGTTTGACCAAATAGAAGAGTGTTACTACTACCATTAAGATTATGTAAAATACATCGATGATCAAACAAAACATGATGGGTAAAATAAATAATTTCCAATTGACAAAAGGGTTGGATGTACTAATAATCATGCATTGATTACTTTTGACCATGATTTATTCATTGTTTTTTTGTTCAACACTTTGTTTTGTGAAATTTAAAAGTAGTATGGTTCATACTGTGCGATTTGATTAAAATCGTTCCAAGTAAAAAAGTTCTATGAAAAATAAATCATGGTCTTAAAGGGAAATGAGCGCACAACACCGAAAAAATATTTGATAAATAGGAATTCTGATATTTCCTTTGAATTCTATAATTTTCCTTTGTATATACTTTTGTCATGGTTCTCCGGAAATTTAAAGATGGCATGGTATTTTCCATTGTAAGTGTATACCAATTTTGTAAAACAATAAGAGGGTTGCGGGGCATCTACTGCAGGACAATTTCCAAAACATTTTACTCTATGTTAGAGTGACGCCCTATATTCACGGGGTTAAGACAGACATAAATGTTGAAAATAAAATGTAAAAATGCATGTATATAGAATTAATAAAAATTTATCTAATGTATTTTTATACACCGTTTAATATTTCTTACGCTTAACGCTATTTTATAGTTCTTTGTTGTATTTCTATAAATTTATCTAATGTATTTTTAGTATACTATTTCTTACACTTAACCGTATTTGATAATTCTTTGTTGGATCATGCAATATTATTGTGTAAATATTTTAATGATAAAATAATTTTGAACATCAAACATTCACTATAATTTGCTACTAATGCTATTTCCTTATAAATTAATTTAGGTCATATATAAAATAATTTAATCTTAAAAGTAGATAAGTACCATTAGCTGTTAATATTTCACTAAGTAATGACAAGTACTTCACAAATTAAATTTAAAACCCATACATAAAAAAATGACTCCCTTATACATAGGATGACAGGGGACAAAGTAGAGATGTCGGCTAGGGAACGTAAGCTTCGTGAGAAAAAACGATTAAATTTTGATTTTTGATATCTTGTTGATGTACTCCTAATTTACCATATTTATGATCTTGTTTTGTCACACTTTTAATACTTTATTTCTCATTTTTAAATAAAAAGGATTGATCTTTATCATCTTGGACATTTTAAGGTATTGTACTTGTTTTGGTATATTTTTGAGTTTCAGGATAATTCGGAACGTATATTAATTTCTGAAAAGAAATAAATATTACTCCCGAGTGAAGACGGAAAAATCATCAAAGTGAAGCGAGTCCTTACTTTATCTTCGAAATATTTATACAGAGACCCGAAGTTCATTTCAGAATAAATCAGACTGTCCACAATAAAATGTACCGGTTAACTGTTTGACCAGTTAACTGATCAAACAGCTAACTGGCCAAATAAAGAAGTGGCGAACAAAGAGCCAAGCTGACAACATTATTCACTCCATTATTGTGAATAAGGCTCCACCGTAGAAGAAATCTCAAGAAGAAAACAAATTGAGATCAAATAATTGAATTGCATCCACTTGGAACCAAAGCTGTCTTCATCATCTTTCATTAGCCGAACAGAGGAGCACAGCGGCCGACGAAGAAAAATGCACAACTGAAAAGTGGCCGGTGCTATTTGCAGGAAGAAAAATGAGAAATCGGCAATCACATCTGGTGAAGATTGAAATCAGTGGCCATCCAAATTAAATGATCTTTATCTTCATTCGGAGATATTTCTGAGCTATACCCTTCTTTTGCTAGTATATAAAGGGGTCATTCAGGAGCTTCAAGGAGACACCTAGTAGATAGAAATCATCCTTGCTTCTTTTCTTTAGCTTTGTTTATTAATAAAAGTGATTCTCTCAAGAACACTTGTGTATATTTCAGTTCGTAATTCTCATTTTCAGAAGTTTATTTAGCTTCCAATATACTCCATATTAATAATAAAGTTCATTCAAGAAATTCACATTTGGGTTCGATCAGTGCCAGCTTTATACAAGGATTGCATCTTTTTCTGTTCCAGTTCATCTATGTTCTACATTATTTATGCCTTCAGGTTCTTATTCCAATACTCATTTTATTTTCTTTAACCTGTTAAATTAATTATGCCTATTATCAGTTTTACTTTTATTTCATTTACTGTAATTATGTGTAACTAAATTAGTTTAGGTTTGGGCAAGATGTAAATTTTACTGTTAATGTTCATATGATAATAATTGGTTAAAACTTTTACTTGGTTAATTTTAGGGGTGTTGGGTTGAATGTTCTAATCTGCTAAATACATTATATTGGGAAATGAATATTATCACGGGAGTGAAGTTTCATTAAAAATCCCTTTAGTTAATTCACCCACTAAATTGCTACACGGAAGTGTTAAGGAATTTAGGATAATTTGATTTTGTACTTTTTACTGTCTTAATAAAATTATCGCGGGAGCGGAATTAATTTAAGATAGTGTAATCAACTAAGTCGTGGGAACGATTAGAAGATTACCATTTGAAAATCTTTCACACACCTAAAAGTAACCAAGTTAATCAGTTAAATCTTTATTATTATGAACATGAAAATAAAATTACTCTTAGCCCAAGCCTAATTTTCACTATATCATTAATTGTTAAATTATCAAGTATTGTGATTTATTTTATTTCCTAGCAATTTCACATTTATAAAAACAAGATAAAAAATCTGTTCACTTAGCTCCATTGCAAAATGTTATCAATTTGTGATTAGCTAAAAATCAATCATTAATTCTAGTTCTCTTTTTGAGCCATTCTCTAGCGGAACGATACTCACTTACTCTATACTATATCGTTACAAGTCAATTAAAACATCATTTCCATTCACATTTTTACACCATTTCACACTACACATTTTGGCATGTCACGATTTTGGCGCCGTTGCCGGGGAATGGCATAGTTTTATTGATTGATTATTAGTTAATTTTAGTGTTTGTTTTTATTTATTTGGAGACTAGGTGTTTTTATTTCCTGTTATCATCACTTGTTTTTAGTTTCCAATTGTAAAAAACAAAAAAATACACACAAAAAAGTAGTGTATGCATACTCGCTCTCAAGGGAGTGAAGGATTGCAACCACTTAACCTTGATTTTGAAAAAGAATTAAGGAAAAGAAGAAAGGCCCAAATCCTTGAACTTAAAATTCCAAATCAGATCATGGAGGACCTTCACAACAATCCCAATAATCCAAATAGCCAAAACCAAATTTCAAATCCAAATCCAAATCCTACGCCACCACAAAATACCCCTATAAATACACCCATTGATACTCCAAGAGATAGACATAATCCTTTCTTTGGAGATCAAAGACCCCCTGAATTTGAAAATTTCCAACAAATTCCTCCTCTAACACAACCCAACCCTTATCCACCACACCCCTACCAAAACTACCAAATTCACCAAAACCAACCTCCACCATATCCATATACATATCCTTATCCTTACCCACCTCCTCCATTTATACACCCATATCAACCTCACCCATATGGCCAATACTACCAACACCCACATAATCAACAAGGTCAAGGGCAGTTCATGAGACAACAACAACAACAAGGAAGAAGACTTCTTGATTATGTTGCAGGTGAAATTGAGGAACAAGATAGCATTCTCTATCCAGGCGTGGATGCAGCAAATTTTGAGATCAAACCAGCACTTATCTCATTGGTCTCAGCCAACAAATTTGGCGGATCAAAGAATGAAGATCCGACGAGCCATGTGAAGCAATTCTTGAGAGTTCTCCAAACTCTTAAGCTTAATGGAGCCTCTGTTGATGCCATCAGACTCAGATTGTTTCCATTCTCACTGAGGGATGAAGCATTGAGTTGGTTGAACTCTAAACCATCCGGTTATTTCAACACATGGGAGAAGTTGCATAGAGATTTCATGAAGGAGTTCTATCCTCCTTCTAAGGCATCAAAAATGAAGAAACTGATCCAACAATTCAGACAACAACCATCAGAATCTCTTTATGAATCATGGAAGAGATTTAAAGATCTTCAAGTTCAATATCCACATCATAATATGAGCATGGGTGATCTCATTGTCTCATTTTATGAGGGATTACATGATAATTCCAAAATTGTTGTGGATGCCTCTGCTAATGGAGCTTTCATGGAGCTTGATCCTCAAACTGGAAAAGAGATGCTTGAGAAAATTTGCAACAACAGTGCATCATGGTATTCTGAAAGATCCACTCAAAAGCTAGGAGCGGGAATTTATGAGGTTGACCAAACAACAGCTTTAACAGCAAAGGTTGATTCTCTCACAAACATGATCCAAAAGCTCACTGAGAAACAATCATCATCAACTTCTAGCACATCAACAAATCCATCATCATCTTTAGCTCAAGTTTTGTTTTGTGAACTCTGTGGAGGAGGGCATTCTTTTAAGGAATGCAATCTTCTAGAACTTACACAAAACGTTCCTTCTGGCCCCACAGTAGAACAAGCTGATGCTATATATGGTAGACCTCAAGTACCATATCAAGGAAACTATAATCCTCAAGGGAAGACACATCCAGGATTTTCATGGAGTAACCCATCAGGTGCAGCAAATTCACCATATTCATCCAAACCAACACCTCCTGGATTTCAAAATCAGCAAGGGTACCCACCGCAACAGCAATTACCACCACCACCTCAGCAACAACAACAATTTGTTGGAGTTAATGACTTCCAGAGAATGATGCAAGGTATCACTAATCAATTCTCTCAACTCACCGCTCAACTCAATCAAATTCAAGCTCACAACAAAATGCTTGAGAGCCAGATTGCTAGTTTTGCTTCACCATCTACTAGCAAAGCTCAAGGCAAGTTGCCTGCCTACTCTGAACATCCTAGGGAGAATGTCAGTGCAATCACTACAAGGAGTGGAAAACAACTTTCTGATCCACCACTTGTAGTTGAGAAAGAGAAGATACCTGAAAAAGAGACTTCACCACTAAAGGAGAACAATGAAGAAGATCTGAATTCTCACTCACATGAAGGCAAGAAAAAGGTAATACAACCATATGTTCCACCTTTACCATTTCCTCATAGAGCAAAGAAGAACACAATTGATGAGAGGAGGGATAAATTCCTTAAATGGATCGGTCAACTTAACACAACAATCCCACTTCTTGATGCTCTAAAACATATGCCTTCATATTCCAAATTTCTAAAGGAAATTCTTTCAAACAAGAAGAAGTTTGAGGAGAAAGCTACCGTAGCCATGAGCGAGGGATCCAGTGCTATAATTCAGAAGAAACTTCCAGAAAAATTGAAGGATCCAGGTAGCTTTACTATACCATGCATAATTGGAGGGTTCATGGTCAACAAAGCTTTATGTGACCTCGGGGCTAGTGTTAGCCTTATCCCTTATTCTATGAGCAAGCGCCTTAGTCTTGGTATTCCCAAAGCTACTTCAATGACCATTCAGCTTGCTGACCGATCTGTTAAGTACCCTGTTGGTATTCTTGAAGACATTCCTGTACAGGTTGGAAAATATTTCATCCCTTGTGACTTTGTCGTCCTAGACATGGATGAAGATGAGCGAGTACCTGTCATATTGGGAAGGCCTTTCTTGGCCACTGCTGGTGCCATCATTGATGTTAAAAAGGGTACATTAAAAATTGAAGTGGGGGATGAAAGGGTTGAGTTTAATATTTTCCAAACGGTGAAAAATCTTACATGTGTGGAAGATTGTTGGAGGATTGATATAGCTGATGAATCTGTGAGAGACTTCACGAGAATCTTTCACAAGGATCCTATGGAGGTTTGTGTTGTGGAGGAAGTCGAAAAAGATCATGAGGATGAAGAGTTAGTGGAGCGTGTAAAAAAGAAAGGGAGTTGTAAAAGCTTTCACGAGGGGAAGGAAGTGAAAAAACGGAGGAAGGGAGGAAAATTGCTATCAGTGGCCAAAGAGTTAAGAAATATTCTCAAGGAGAGGACGCAAAGAAGAAACTCATTGTTTGACTGGATCATCCTTCGTATGAGTAAACCAATCAGGTAATGTCGGGCACACGACGTTAAAAATAGCGCTTCTTGGGAGGCAACCCAAGTTTATTTACTTTCATTTGAATGTGTGTTTTGCTTGTGTGTTTGCATTGAATAATTTTATTTTCCCACCCATTTACTCACCCGTCCTGTATATATTTGTCACATCGAGGACGATGTTTCATCTTAAGTGTGGGGGGAGAATATGCATGTTTGTTTGTTTGTGAATTGCCTTATCATCTGTTTAACTTTCAAATCATGCATTCTATTCTTTCACATGGTATGTGGATTGTTGGCTGGACTTGTCTCTTAATATTTGGATTGAGAATCATAATTTTTGAGCGTTGAGTAAAATTTTGGTCAAATTTTAAACTTTGTACAAACACAAAACATCTCATGCACGTAAATGGTTATCTAGTGAAACTGTTGTTCAATATGTTTAAGATTGTGTAAAACAAGAGTGCTATGTGCTTTTATTTTCCTTGACATGATTTTCTGACTTGGCACATTAGGAAATGATATAGGCCATTTTTCATAAACCCATATACCTAGCCTTACCCATGTGATAAATATCCCTTGTTCAACCCCTTTGAGCCATTTTTTTTATAAGCGTTATACGCTTAACCCTGTTTTTCTCATTTTCTTTCATAAAAACCTGTTATATGTGACCCTGAGCCTAAAAGCCAAACACTTTCCAACCACCCTAGAATGAACTTGCATAAATTTTAATGAGTTTAGAGAGTGTTATTTACATTTGGGAGCTTCAATTACACTTTTGTGATTACTTAGTTGTTAATATTCATTTATAGGGGTAGTTGTTCTTGTTGTATCATCATTGTACATATTATTCTTGTAAATTCTTATGGTTAGAAGCACTGAAAAGCCTTGAACAAAAACAAAAAAAATCAAAAACAAAAAAAAAACAAAAAAAAGAAAAAAAAAAGAAAAAAGAAAATGAAAAAAAAAAAATCTAAACAAGGCTAAATATCCATGTATATGCTTCTCTCTTTTGTATATTTTTCTTGTACATTAATTTACTCTTTTTACTAGTTACTACACCTAACTGTTCAAAATAACAAGTGTTGTATAGATTATTGTCAAAAGCTCCTACTCACTACTTAGTACCTCTCTAAATTTGTTAAATTTATGTCAAGTTCATTTCTTTTGTTTCCTCATTAATTCCCTTTGTTCATAAGCCTATCCCACAGACCTCATTATAACCCAATGTTAAAAGTCCTAATTGATCCTAATTGTGTTTTGTCTGAAATAAGTTGATAGGAAAATCTTATTTTGCATAATTTTGCATGATTGAACAAACGAAGCTAGATTCCATTTTCACACCACACACTTTGCGTTTGTTAGAGTTGAGATTTGACCAAAACGTTTCAAATGATATGCAAAACATTTTTATGATTCTCACTACTCTTATTTTGTGACAAGTCAAGGGATTTTTGATTGATCAAGTGGAGTGAAAAGAAAGTGTGCATAATTTGAGGGTTGTACATATGATTTGGCAAATTCATTTTTTTTTCTTCTTCTTGCTTGCTTGTTTGTTTGTGTGAATGTAAATATTTTTGCTTGAGGACAAGCAAAATCTTAAGTATGGGGGAGTTGATGTACTCCTAATTTACCATATTTATGATCTTGTTTTGTCACACTTTTAATACTTTATTTCTCATTTTTAAATAAAAAGGATTGATCTTTATCATCTTGGACATTTTAAGGTATTGTACTTGTTTTGGTATATTTTTGAGTTTCAGGATAATTCGGAACGTATATTAATTTCTGAAAAGAAATAAATATTACTCCCGAGTGAAGACGGAAAAATCATCAAAGTGAAGCGAGTCCTTACTTTATCTTCGAAATATTTATACAGAGACCCGAAGTTCATTTCAGAATAAATCAGACTGTCCACAATAAAATGTACCGGTTAACTGTTTGACCAGTTAACTGATCAAACAGCTAACTGGCCAAATAAAGAAGTGGCGAACAAAGAGCCAAGCTGACAACATTATTCACTCCATTATTGTGAATAAGGCTCCACCGTAGAAGAAATCTCAAGAAGAAAACAAATTGAGATCAAATAATTGAATTGCATCCACTTGGAACCAAAGCTGTCTTCATCATCTTTCATTAGCCGAACAGAGGAGCACAGCGGCCGACGAAGAAAAATGCACAACTGAAAAGTGGCCGGTGCTATTTGCAGGAAGAAAAATGAGAAATCGGCAATCACATCTGGTGAAGATTGAAATCAGTGGCCATCCAAATTAAATGATCTTTATCTTCATTCGGAGATATTTCTGAGCTATACCCTTCTTTTGCTAGTATATAAAGGGGTCATTCAGGAGCTTCAAGGAGACACCTAGTAGATAGAAATCATCCTTGCTTCTTTTCTTTAGCTTTGTTTATTAATAAAAGTGATTCTCTCAAGAACACTTGTGTATATTTCAGTTCGTAATTCTCATTTTCAGAAGTTTATTTAGCTTCCAATATACTCCATATTAATAATAAAGTTCATTCAAGAAATTCACATTTGGGTTCGATCAGTGCCAGCTTTATACAAGGATTGCATCTTTTTCTGTTCCAGTTCATCTATGTTCTACATTATTTATGCCTTCAGGTTCTTATTCCAATACTCATTTTATTTTCTTTAACCTGTTAAATTAATTATGCCTATTATCAGTTTTACTTTTATTTCATTTACTGTAATTATGTGTAACTAAATTAGTTTAGGTTTGGGCAAGATGTAAATTTTACTGTTAATGTTCATATGATAATAATTGGTTAAAACTTTTACTTGGTTAATTTTAGGGGTGTTGGGTTGAATGTTCTAATCTGCTAAATACATTATATTGGGAAATGAATATTATCACGGGAGTGAAGTTTCATTAAAAATCCCTTTAGTTAATTCACCCACTAAATTGCTACACGGAAGTGTTAAGGAATTTAGGATAATTTGATTTTGTACTTTTTACTGTCTTAATAAAATTATCGCGGGAGCGGAATTAATTTAAGATAGTGTAATCAACTAAGTCGTGGGAACGATTAGAAGATTACCATTTGAAAATCTTTCACACACCTAAAAGTAACCAAGTTAATCAGTTAAATCTTTATTATTATGAACATGAAAATAAAATTACTCTTAGCCCAAGCCTAATTTTCACTATATCATTAATTGTTAAATTATCAAGTATTGTGATTTATTTTATTTCCTAGCAATTTCACATTTATAAAAACAAGATAAAAAATCTGTTCACTTAGCTCCATTGCAAAATGTTATCAATTTGTGATTAGCTAAAAATCAATCATTAATTCTAGTTCTCTTTTTGAGCCATTCTCTAGCGGAACGATACTCACTTACTCTATACTATATCGTTACAAGTCAATTAAAACATCATTTCCATTCACATTTTTACACCATTTCACACTACACATTTTGGCATGTCACTTGTGATAACAGTAAATGTGCCCTCAATAGATATCTTGTGATATATTTATAGGTGAAAGTGTACAACTAGGGTTGTTACAAGGCATTTTTTAAGAATAGAGAAATGCCATAAGATAATGAGATTTTTTTAGGATTTCTAAGATAGGGGAAAATATAGAGGTAAGAGATCCAAAAACTTGTATTTATTATAGACTTCAGACCATGCAAAATATTCATAAAAGTAATTTCTAATATTTATCATCTTATTGAAAACAGTGTTTGCATGGTTTAATTTTTTACACTAATTTTACACTGATACAAAGGATTCACTTGACGGAAAATTACGCTCAAGTGTTGGGGAGTTTGATAGACACAATAATTACCTATGCTTACAGAGGTAATTATAAAAAATTGTAGTGTACAAAGAGAGGAAAAGGTAAAAGCCCTGATTTGATATGGAAGCGGAATAAGGTCATGGGCCCCACCGGCACCAATGCTTGTGATTTTGAAGATATTGGTCGGAAACAACCATCAACTGGATCAAGACATCCCTATTTACAAGCGTCAATCATGCTCGAATCTATAGAAACCACATTAACGTGAAATATATTCTTTAATTGAAATGTACCTATTTGGAGGGTACGACTTCGAATTTCATCCATATCTAATTTAGGATCATGAATGGACTATCAAACATAATTTTCTAGCCTCAAACCCCCCCCTAAATCCATCACAAATGAATCATTCAATCCTGAGTCAATCTATTACCTTTATATTTGTTCTTTGTTCTTCACGGTATTCTCAAAGTTGGAAAGCTCACTCCTTCCAAGCATTGATGATTAGGTACCATTTAGTTCATATATTTTCATGTTCATCGTGTGATTGATATACCTTTAACAAGATGTACCTATCCCAAAACATATAGTTTCGGTAAACCATGAAGATTATAATATATAGAATATAACATTTTTTTATCAACATTTGATCCCAAAACATAAATGCTAATATTATCCCAAATTAGAAGATTATAACATTTCTATCAACAAATAATGTTGTATTTATACATCAATCACATGAACTTTCAACTCTTATTAATAGCATTTAAACCTGTTGAGGTTTATTCCTTCAACCCTTGGGTCCAACACGTAAGCCCAAGGATTTCGAGTGGAGTGTGTAAGGGTATCTAGCCCAACTAGCAAGTAGTATGGAACAAGGAAAACAGTAAGCAGCAAGTAAGTGATTAGGTATTATTATCTCTTAATAACTCCCTAATACAATACTTTTCGCTAAGGCTCCGTCGGCCGTTCGTCTTACAAGGCAGTAGAAATGCTGCGAGTAAGAGTGCTATAGCTAGAGTGCTAAGAATCGAAAGTTGTCAACCCTTTACAATGAAATAAATGCTTCTATTTATACCCACCAATGGGCAGGTGGCTATACTGACGTGGAAGCCTGTGGTTCGCTGGTGTCTCAACCACCAAATCTTCAGCATTAAATGCACTTCCCGCCAGAATCTAGTGTTGAGGTTTCCCGCCTAAGTAGCGGGGACGTTCGTCCACCCGAGGAGCGAGCTGGATTGCTTCAGGTGGCCTCTAAGGGATATTGGCCGCCCGTCTCCTGGCCTTTGTGGATTCTCGTCATGCGGGCTGGACTGCCTCCGATGGCTAGGGGCTTGTTCTGACGACGTTCGTCGTTACTCCGGTGGTCCGTGGTCCTGCTCCTTGTCCCTGCATGGACGTTCGTCGAGACGGGCCATTGAGCCCGAACCCCAACAGAAGACGTTCGTCCCTCCTGGAGGAACCTGGGCTTGCCAGGCTAGCTGTGTGCTATCTGGACGTGCGTCCGGAAGAAGGGGTAAATGGGCCGAACCTCAACTTGGGCCATTAACCCAACAAAACCAAACATAAATTGTTTACACTTACCATGGTATAGCTTCACATTTTCATGCATATTTATATCATATATGAATGGTTTACACATTTACACCAAGCATAATGTCTTATTCAAATAATTCCAAATCTTATGTTTTATTCTTGCTCATTTTGAGAACCTTACTCTCCCTCGATTTGAAGTTAGAACTAATTTGCAGTATATTTTAAGCATTCAGTATTAGTTTCCTAGGTCAAGAATACGTTTTATCGTGTTACGTTAGAGGTACATAAAAACTAATCTTATCGGATCTTGTTTGGCAACATAGACCTATTTTAATTACCAAGCCGCTGAAAATTATAAAATTTGTGCTCGAATATTAAGAGCCCGTTTGGTAGCACGAAAATCGGCTGTTTTGGCTGATTCTGCTGAAATTTATGAAGTTCTGACTGAAGTGGCTGCATTGACTGATTCTGCTGATCTAAGATAAAATTATTTTTAAAATATATTTCATTAATAAAATAAAGAAAAAATTATACGAAGTATGTAAAAATAGCTAAAATGATCATCTACTCTTCTGCTTATACAACCAATACAGCCAAAAAAGTAACTTCAACCTTACTTTTTCTGCTTATTGCACAATTCAGCGCGCGAAAGCAAAAATTACGTGTTTGGTGAAAAAGTTGGCTAATAAGCCTGATAAGACGAAAAACTGTATTGCCAAACGGCTTCTAAATCAAGATCCATTTTTAAAATGCTCAATAATGCATTATTAGAAAACGGGTATGGAATTAAAATGTACTCCGTACTACGTAATACTCTTTACTTTGAAGTATGATTACAAAAGAAAACGAATGAGTGAAACTTTCAAGCTAATGCATGTTTATGATAGAATTTATTAATTGTAGATGACTAGATGTATTCACGTATCGTGTTTAGTTCACTAAAGAAAACTAGTGTCGTGTGAATTTAGGAGAAAAAAATACTCTGAAAAAAGAGAACGTCTACCAGTTTATCACATAGAATTCAGACTATCCGGAAATAAAAAAAGTAGTGGACTTTGGGTTGCAACTGCATTCATTCATATTAGATAGACACTGCTTATAGTACTTGTGTCTATACACATTTACACATTCCCAATGTTTCCAATGAAATTGGAACCCAACACATAACGTCGGGAAACAAAGTTTTGAGTTTTGATGTAGCAGGACTGTTTGGAGTATTTCAAATTTTACTGAGCTGGTCAGACCCGAAGTACCCGGACACATATCAAGGTGTACCTCTTTTGTTACTTGTTGGTAGCTTGTCAAACTGATCATTGTAGTCTTTCATTTTTGAAGCAAAAACATTAGCATCACTAGGGCTGGACTCGGTTCGGGCCGGGCCCGGTTCGGGCCTTGAACCGGCCGGGCCTCGGTTCACCAAAAGGAAGGCCCGGGCCCGAACCGGCAGGTGACCGGTTCCGGGCCGGTTCCGGGCCAGACCGGGCCGGTTCACCCGCCCCATTTTTTTTTTTTGATTTTTTGGCTTCTCTTATTTAACCCGCTACCCCTCCCCCTCAACCCCAAACCACCCCAAACCACCTCAAATGGCCCAAAATACCTAATCCAACCCAAAAATTAAAAAAATTTCAAAAAAAAATTAAAAAAAAAAATTATTCCGGCCCGGACCGGGCCCGAACCGGCCGGGCCGGTTCACCAAATAGAGGGCCCGGAACCGGTATCCACCGGGCCGGTTCGACCCGAACCGCCGGTGGACCGGGCCACCGGGCCGGGCCGGTTCACACAGTAACCGGGCCGGGCCGGTTCCGGTTCGGGCCGCCCGGCCCGAGTCCAGCACTAAGCATCACTAATAAGGAGTTACACACCATCAGCTCATCAATCACAGAGGTCTCTTTAGGCACTCTCATTTCTCAGTCTCACACAGTCACACTCACTCTCTTTCAAGCCAATGGCTATAGTTCAACTATTGTAATCTATGTTTGAATTTTAATGAATCAAGTTTCTTTCCTCAAGAAAAAACAATTAATGAGTAAACTCATTAAAATTTCAATAACTTCCACAAGCCATTTTTATGTCATTTTTATTTATTACCCATTCATTCTCCATGCTTATACGCCTCCACATTTGGCTCCACATCCGGCTCTTGTCATTTTTCATGTTGAATGTCCAATACATGTAATACTCTGTGAGTCTGCGACTCGTATTTCCCAACTCTTTTTTTAAGAAAAATATGGACTATTTGACTAACTGCATGAAGAGCTGATCACATAAAGCCGCAGCTTTTGAGAGCATACCCCCTATTCAAATTGCTGCCCAACGGGCTGTGGGGAGCCAGTGTAAGCTTGTCAAGTCAGAGAGCTTATATATAGTGGAGAGGGTGAGGTAAACATATACATACCCATATATGTATATAGGACCCAAAACATCACCTACTAATAATTTGTTAGGCAAGCCAAATTTTTAAAAACAATACTCAAGAAATACATTTGGCTAACTTGTGCTTCTTGAAGGTTCACCATATTACATTAATAATTCGCTCTAGCTTTCTCCAGGTCAGGAAGATCTGCAATAATGAAATGACATAATAATTTAATAAAAGGAAAATCAGAAGTGAAAGCTGATGGAATGTCTCCAATGGTTTTCTTCTCACCCTACGATTTTCTGAGTTCCAAACATGACCTAAATAACTGAGTCCTTAACTCATATATCCCCAAAATCCCAAATACTAACATCCATGAATTAAAAAAAAAAGTAATGCTTTAACATATACAGGCTATTTCTTAAGGATCTACATTTATTTCTTAGCATAGCTTTACATTACTCTTTATATGCCAACTCATGTCTTAGATGAGTAAAGGTAGGATGATCAAGTTAAGAAATCATATGTTTGTGTATATGCACGTATTATGTTCTTTAACTTACACAGCATTCCTCCATCATCACTGCTCTCATCATCTTCACCAGTATACTGCAAAAAAAAAAAAAAAATACACACTCATCATGTTAGACAACTAATAACATGTACTCCGTAAATTTCTATTTATGCTATGTGAAGAACAATAAGGGCTGGAGTTACCGCAAAATCATCATCAATGTCCACATCAGCTGCATGTACCCAAAAATATTTGTTAGATTTAGACGAAAATATCCACAATTACAGATACACAAAAGTAAATATCTTGTACTTGGCCACGCAAGGACATGATCTTATATGCATGGCATTAAACAACTAAAGAAACATAAAGTCGGAGCTCCTTGATAATGCGATCTTATATCAACCATACCAAAAAAGTGAAGAAACATAAAGTTGGAGATCAATGATCATGTGATGTTGTATCAACGTATAAAAAAGTCCATGTGTCATGTTCAGCAACTCAGCATGTCAAGTCAGGTTCCTGTTTGGAACCAAGGCTATTGATAGAGTATAGCACCAGGATGGCAGGATCCAAAATTGTCAAACTCCAAACTCGACAAGTAGAAACTCGACAGTTTATCTAAACTAGTGGACTTTCTGTAAACTTGACTTGTAGAATGGATTGGTAAATTCGTAATTGCATATTAAAACAGTGTAACGAATTGCCTGTTTTTTACATATATTCTTAACAGATTACTTATTTTATACAAAAAATCAACCTCTCTATTTGATAATACATGTCAAAATATCGCACTCATAAAGTGATAAACTCAAACATTTTGGAAAAGAGTACTTTTTTCTAATAATTTGAGGATCAGTTAAACAATGTCATAATGGATCCAAATAGAACACATGAATTCTATTGCATTCCAAACTTGCTAACTTGCTTATTCACTTGAGACGTAATGTGAGTTTGCATGAGAATGCCAAAAAAGAGTTTATAGTTAAGTAAGTTAACTGGTCTTATCTATACCTAGATCTATAAAATCATAAAGATTTAAGAGTTAGCTTGAGTCTAGATGGGTCCCCAATCCAGAAGTTGCTTTTGGTGAACCACGTCAATGGCTGGGCTAGTCCTGCTATGGTGATTGCCCATATGGCCTGCACTGTAAGCTTAGCACCAAGGCTAGCTAGTTGCAGAAAATCGTAGGGCATAGGTGTAGCTCAGGTACAAGAGCACACAAGCAGTGACTGATAAGAACAGAAAAATAAAATCAACGGGGTAAACCGTTGCCCAGAATAATCAACGGAAGAATCCGTTGCCCAAGCTAATTTAGCTTAACAAATCTCAATTTTTTATTCCCCCGACTGAATAACCCTACGTGGGTATAAATAATGCTATCCTAGTATCGTACTAGGAACATTTAAGTTCTAGTAGGAAACCAATAAGCTAATTAATTAATTGTACGTAGCTAGCCTATCGTATTGGGAAGCAGACTTGCGCACAAGCCCAAGGGGAAGAGAATCCATACGTACCAACCTAAGGAAATTCTAATAAAATAAATAGCAATAATAAAAGAACTAACATAATTGAAACTAATTAAATTAAAAACTCAGCCCCTAACCGGCCCACGAAAGTGGGCCCAAGCCCGGTCCCGCCACATGCTCTTCCCGCTTCATATCAATCCATCCCCCTTAAAATAACCTTGTCCTCAAGGTTGAAAACTCGCGGATCGGGAACTGAAATTTCCAGACATAGAATAGACTGGAAAATATTCTTCTTCTCTTTCCTGAACCCTTTCCTTGCCGGTTATTTCACAGAATTCATACTGCTTCAGGTCCAACTCTTCATCCTCCTCAGCTAACATTACTCGCAGCTGCTTAAAGGGGCAATCATGTGTTGGCGTAAATGGTTTCTTACACCTAAAACACAATCCTTTCGCCCTCAATTCTGCAAACTCTTTTGGCGGTAGTCGAGTGAACTGAGAGCGTGTCGTAGGCTGCACGGACAGACCTGACTTTGTCCCTGGAGGTTGTCCACTATCTTTTGCAAAGCTGCCCTCCGAACCCTGTAAGCTGCCACCAGCGGCAGTCAACGGGGAATCTGCGTTTGCCCTTAAAAGGCTGCTAGAACGTACTCCCGATGAATGATAATTCAGGCTGCCACTTTCTCCACTTTGGACGGACAGATTATACTCCACTTCGCGAGCTAATTCCATAGCCATCTCTCTGTTGTTTGGTCGGAGCAATCGCAGCGAGCTTCGGATTATCTCCTTAAGACCGCTCATGTAATATCCTAAATAGTGCTCATCGGGTAACTCTAGAACTTGGCTTGCTAGCTGAACAAACAAGATATTGTAATCTTCTATAGACCCAATTTGCCTGACTCCGGACAATCGCTCATACTTATTCCCCTGAAATCGAGAATCAAATCTGTCGACCAAGGCTTGCTTGAAATCTGCCCAAGTCATCCCGGGCCTGCACGATCTCAGCTAGGTCACCCAGTAAAGCGCTCCTCCTTCCATAGCTACCATCGCGGCAGCCACCTTCTTTTCCGGTAAAGTGTTGTGTAATTCGAACTGTTGCTCTACCCGAGCGATCCACCCAATTGGTTCTCCCCCATCGAACGACGGAAGCAGCGTTATATTTGGATTGCTCAGCACGCCTTCTCTATGCAGCTCGGTTGCCGGGATTTGACCCACGTCATCCGCGGCTTTCTTCGGTGTGACCGGCGGGACCATCGCCTGGGTCAACGCCGCTAGTGAGGCGATGATCTCCGACAACTTGCCACCATGCTCTGCCTGTTCGGCCCTTATCCGGGTCACTTCTTCTCTCATACGAGTTTGTTCGTTCTCCAGCTCTGTCAATCGATCATTCTGAGATCTCGTCATCTTGGCGGGACGGGATCCGGCAGGTCGGACCAATTGATAAGAACAGAAAAATAAAATCAACGGGGTAAACCGTTGCCCAGAATAATCAACGGAAGAATCCGTTGCCCAAGCTAATTTAGCTTAACAAATCTCAATTTTTTATTCCCCCGACTGAATAACCCTACGTGGGTATAAATAATGCTATCCTAGTATCGTACTAGGAACATTTAAGTTCTAGTAGGAAACCAATAAGCTAATTAATTAATTGTACGTAGCTAGCCTATCGTATTGGGAAGCAGACTTGCGCACAAGCCCAAGGGGAAGAGAATCCATACGTACCAACCTAAGGAAATTCTAATAAAATAAATAGCAATAATAAAAGAACTAACATAATTGAAACTAATTAAATTAAAAACTCAGCCCCTAACCGGCCCACGAAAGTGGGCCCAAGCCCGGTCCCGCCACATGCTCTTCCCGCTTCATATCAGTGACCCTAACATGACTAAAATGGAGCTCACTACTTGTCCTTATATATACTCCCTTCCATCACGAAGGAAGCACCCCCATTATATCATTCTAGAAGGAAGTAAGAGTGCTTGTTGCATATTTGATGAACTGTGACTGTAACAGTAAGCTTTCTAGTTTTAGATCTAGAACTTGTACTCCTACATTTTGTACTACACATTTGATCATACATATACTTCCCCAGGCTTAAGGTATATCTACAATCCCCCTATAGCCTTCACGCTTTTTGGACTATGGAGTTACAAATTAACCCCATCTCTAACAGGATTAACCAGACGGGCTCGGCCAGTTTGTCAGGCTCGATAGACTGCCAGTATGACCTGCCAATTAATTAAATCTATCAGCTATGATTAAGGCCTGATATGCTGAACTAAAATGTGAGTTTCCAAAAGAACTCAATCACTAACAATGCAAAAGTAAGAAGATTACAATATAAGTGTCTATTAGAAATTAAACCATGTTGTATACTGGTATTACAACAGTATGTGTGTTTGCAGATGCATATCACACCCATATTTTAGCATCTTGGGTGACCATTCTTGACATTTTTGGAAACTATGCTCTACAGACCAAATTCCCAAAACTTGAGAAATATCTACTTCGAAGACACAAGAAACTACTTATCACAACGCCAATAAGGTTACTATTTCACAAATCATCCCCCCCCCCATATAAATACCACCCACTTTACTTCAGCCTTGCTTCAATTCCACCCAAAACATAACAAACATTGAACTTCAAAGCACAGGAAATTGCAGAAATAATAAATCCATCTCTTTGTGATATTCTTTTGACCAATTATAAAGAGACTCGTTTTAACTTTTAAGACCTAAAAGGTCATCTTAAGTCAGCATTGGCATAAGATTGTAACAACCAAACCCTCCCAACTCTGCAGCTTCCTACAAAGTACTAAAGCTAGTAAAAAAAACTAATAATACTACATTTGGTTTTTGGTTGCATCCTTCATAACATGGGTCATCATTAGTCACAAAAATGCTAAATAAGTCGGTTGTTACAAACTTACGAAGAGTAAATGTACCCAACATAGTTTTCTTTATAAAAGATGTAGAGTGCAAAAATAATCTTAAAGCTTAATTAAAGCAAGAGGCCACAGGACAAAGACTTACAAGACTCTTCATCGTCTTCATCACAAAACTTGTTCCAATCGACCTTAATAAAAGGAGCAGGCTTGTTTTCAGACTTCAATAACCTTGGCCACCATGACTTCTGGTCCTTCTGAATTGAGCACCGAATGTTCCTCAAACTAATTTTTGTCTTACAAGCCTGGGGGAACAAATCGTCATAGCATGCTGAATAAGAAGCATGACTAAGCCCCATTAGGGCAGAAATCTAATCATCACTAATCATAAACACATTTCCGTTTTGCATCAATTAAGATCACACACTGAAAATGAACAATAACAGCTCAGCACTAGGGAATTACTATCGTATAAAGCAACTAAGACTACAACTCCGTCCTTCTCGCTAGTTTTGTTGAAGGACAGCGAACAAATACCTGAGGGAGAATGTTGCCGAAGAGGTGAAGAGTGAAGGAGAATGGTTCTCCGTGTGCGCCGACGGCGGAGAATGCGAAGAGTCCAGTCGACTCTGGCGTGACGGAGACGTCTTTGGCATCCGGCAAAGAGATTGTCAGGTAGACCTTACCGGAACGCTGAGCCCAGAGCACCTCCGGCTGCCGGTTGGAATTCTTTGCGGTTTCCATCTTCGCAGACGCTATGGACAAATTTGAGCAAAGAAATTGTGAGAATTCGATGAGAAAATGCACATGGATTGAATAATGGAGAACCAAGTTACCCGACGCGATGGCAAGTGATACAAGGTGGTGTGACACTACTACTCTTGAGAGTGGAGTGGAGGTTCATACTTCATACGTCTGTCCGTGGCTAAGGCGCTGTCCCCTCCGTACACGTGATGTAAATTGTGTACACATACGTCTGTCCGTGGCCAAGGCTACGACCTCTGTAAGGTAAAGTTGTAAGCATTTTGTTCTCCTAAAGGTTGAATCCCAATTCCAAGGTTTTTCCACGTTCCCATCCGACAAAGCATATGACTGGAAGTAAATTAGGATGACTCAACTAATCTAGTGGTGGTAGATCTTATACTCGTGTGCACCATAGGTCCAGTCCAGCACATAGAGGATGTGACCTCCACATGAACTACCAGTTGAGCCACCTATGCGGGTAGTTGTACACATTTTGTGCACACACTCCGAGCTATTTGTGTACGCAGTTAGCTTCTGAATGAATTGCTTCTGTACACTGACAATTAGGGATTGTGTACATAAAATATGTTCAAAATATGTGTACAAACAACTTTTTCTAATTGTGTGAGATCTTTTAGGAAAATTGTGTGAACGTGAAGTTTATGGGGGTTTGGAATTGATTCTGCTTCTGATTCTTTTTTAAAAGTATAAGTGGCATTAGAATCAGTTTCTGAAAAGTTGATGTCCCTCAGTTTCTTGTTGCTGGTAGCAAACAAGAAACACAAACCCAAGCATGATGTGGTGGCGGCTTGGAGGATGATCGACGCGTCCTTTACGGCTCCAGGGGTTGCTTGCGTTAAATAGTTTGCACCGACAGGCGAGTGCAAGGCTTTGGCTTTCAGGCTCATTTGCTAATCACTCTTCGATTGCGCCAAGTTTCATTTTTTTGGTTCGTTTTTCATTGGGCATCCAACGACTTTGATTTACGGGCTTACTTCTCATCTTTCTTGTATGGCTCGCTTCGGTGGCCGAGTTTGTTTACACTTCATTTTTTGTACGGTTGTTGGGCGGTAGTTTTGATCAATATGTTGTGGTTATGGCTTATTTTTTGCATTGTGCTCATGTTTGTGGCTCTATTTTCGTACTTTCACCATGGATATGTTTGTCAACAATTATATAGTATGATCTTTATGCATGCGGAAGAGAACAGGGGTTTGGTGCTCAAAGTAGATCCGATTGGAATTACTATGAAGATCGATGAAGGAGCTTGTCTCTCAGTTGTAGCCAGAGTGGTTTCGAACAAACCTATTCAGGCTATTTCGTTCCAGCAAACAATGGCCATGATTTGGAGACCCGTTCGTGGAGTTTCTATTGATGAGATAAGTGATTCCATGTTTCTTCTCCAGTTTACAACGAAGGAGATGTTAGTAGAGTCATTGCGAAAAGGCCTTGGTCTTTTGAGCAAAATCTAGTAGTGATGCGTGTGGGATGTACTGGCTGGCCCCTTGAAGTTCTGTTGGATCATGTATACTTTTAGGTTCAGGTACATAATTTACCTTTAGGGTACATGACAGAGAAGGCAGCTCGTGGGATTAGCAAAAGTATTGGATCTTTTGTCCAACTGGATGAACGCTATCTTGCAGATACGACAGGAAGGGGATAATTGGGTATGAGCGGATTTTCGATATGAGATACTTCCAAACTTATGTTTTTTGTATGGGATTCATGGTCATGCCGACCGTTAATGCCCTTCTAATCCACACAGGGGTCCTTGGATCAGGGAGAAGCCGTATGGGTCATGGTTATGTGCTGATATGATGTGGGATGGGGTGCACCCAGAAAACATGTGGCTGATTCTTTAACACCAACAGGTCAAATGATAAAAGGGGTGATAAGGAGGTCTCGGGCAGAACTAATATTGAAGGAAGCTATGTGGTGGAATGTCTGATTTAAAAGGGTAAGAAAGTTTACTCCTCCGGTTCAAGCAAATATGGATGTTGATGGAGCGGACCCAAAAAACTTCCAGGTGCCGGTGTTGTTGGGAGAGCACTGCCACTGATCGAGGATCTTTTGCGGCGTGAAAGTGGGTCCTTTGGCAGAGGCTGATCAAACAGTTATTTCCTTGCTAGTGGCTGGACAAAATGTTACTGTTTTTCTTATTTTTTGCTTTCTCATAACTATTCAGTTATTTCATTTTTGCATTCTAGTAGCAGGTGCAACATTATATTGTTGTTAATGGAATCTGCCACTTTGCGGGATTAGCGAGTCAGGTTGCTCTTGAGCGTAATTCTCACTCCAAGTCTCATCTCAGTGTAGCCTTTAATATGGTGACTTTGTATCTGATTCTCATTATTAATAATAATTAAGTTATCTTTTGCCAAAAAAGTACAATTTGGAGCACCCGGAAGTACTTTCACAAAAAAATTCAATATTTAGTTCTACTCTCTGAAGGTTCAGCAACAGTTTTAAAAAGTAGACCCAAACACCTCCTTAGTTCATATTTTAAGGGAAGAGTAAAAAGTTCATAATTTGTGGAAATGGTAAATACTTTAGTCATTTCTCTTCTTCCCCTCAAATTTTTGTTCTTAAAAATGAAAAAGCGTCTATTTTGTCGGTATTTTGAAGTAACCTTAGTGGTTCCTTGCTAGTGATGTGTGTAGGGTTTTTGTATTCCTCGTCGGTGAAATCGATCTGATGTTGAAATTTTATTGTTGATTGTTAACAATGTTTGTCGTTTCTTGAACCACCATCATGCTATTAGAGAAAATAGTATCCCGTTGGATCTTTCCACTAATCGATCAAACTGAGGATTTTAGTCGTTTCTTTCCAGTAGTTGGACAAACCAGGTTTTCTATTATTATTTTTCGAAGGATGGTGAAACTGATTTATATGCTTGTACATTTTTAGTCTTCATTATTGATTTAGTAGCACTAGCTTCTCTGTTAATAGAGGAGTATACATTTCTGCGGGGTGGTGAATTATTATATTCCTTTAAAACTGCTCAGTTCTACGTTTCGTCCTATTGTATCCTTACACGATCCAAAGTGCTTTTGTATTGATCATTTTTATCACTAATAAATAAGTGCTTTCTTTAAAAATAGTTCATATTTTAAAGATAAGAGTTATTTGATTTTTTTCACTTTTAATGAAAGTATAAGATGCGGAGTATGAGTGTATGACATGCTTATAACATGCACATAGATACTTTGGTCACATTTTTATCTATTAACTTGTGAACAATCTTTTGTCTAATATATGACCAAAATAAATATCATCGACGTAAATATGACTTAATAATTTTTATTGATTATGATTATATTCAAATTTTACCTCTAGACACCATAGACGTACACATAATCAATTTAGCAACATTTCTGTTCAATACATTTATTTTTATAATATTTGAGAAAACCCGTCATATTATAATATTCACATAAAAATTTACAATTTTAACCGAACACGTGTGGAAAAATCAACTTTGAAGAAGACCACTTTTACGTGTCAAATGAAGTGTTTGTGTATTTTGAGCTGGTTTTAAGTTGGAAAAATGGTAAAGATACACACTTTTTGTGTACACACTTTTACACATGTTTGTGTATGTTTTTTTTTTGTTTGTACATACAAAATGTATTTTGACTATACAGAAAAATACATATTTTTGTACAGACAAAAAAAACCTACACAGACATGTATAAAAGTATGTACACAAAAAAATGTGTACCCCAAATCCAACTCTTTAAGTTGGGCATTCATGGGCGAAATTTCTTTGAAGCCAGCCAGAAGAGCGGCATCTTTATAGCCGTGCTGAGGGCGGCCTTTTTATGTTCTTTCTCCATTTATTATTTAGAGCCCGTTTGGTAGCACGAACATCGGCTGATTTGGCTGATTCTGCTGAAATTTATTAAATTCTGGCTGAAATGACTGCATTGGCTGATTCTGCTGATTTAGGAAAAAATTATTTTTAAAATATATTTTATTGATAAAATAAAGAAAAAATTATATGTAAAAATAGTTAAAGTGGTCATCTACAATAACTTCAGCCAATACAGCCAGAAAAGTAACTCCAACCTTACTTTTTCTATTTATTACACAATTCACCGCGCGAAAGCAAAATTTACGTGTTTGGTGAAAAAGTTGGCTGATAAGCCTGATAAGCCGAAAAACAGTGGAGATATTTACCTAAATAGGAGTAAATCAATCTTTGATTGCCAAAATAGGACCAAAGTTTAAAAATTCTTTAAATAGGAGTTTTTAATTACAATCAGACAAAAACACCCTTCTTAGAAGTCACTGCCGCAGACCAGATCACCAGAACACTGGACCACTACAATTCTCCGGTCACCGCCATTCGCCGCCGGCCACCGTACGTCGCCTAACACACAAAAAAAACTGGCCGCCGTTGCAGATCTGGCAAGCGTCGCCGGAGATCTGTCCTAATCGAGCATCCGCCGACTGTCAGACGTTGTCCCTGCAGATCTAACCACCGTCGCAGCTAATCTGGCATCTACCGTTTCAAATCTGATCTCCTCGGTTGCAGATCTGCCTGTTGTCGGCGTAAATGCCAAGATTTTTATCATAATGCCATTCTAATGGCATTTTCAAAGGAAAATACAACTTTTTTTAAGACTAAAAATGTCATTTTCATGGCATTTTCAGATTTTAACTTAGCATTCAGCAACAAACAAAGAAGAAAGAGACCAGAACAATATAGAAGAGAAGCCGATCTACAGAGAAGAAAAGTCAATCTCGGACACCGGCGGCGGTGGGCTTCACGACGGCGGTGGTGGACTTCGCGACGGCGATGACTATCACCCGGCTTCTGGCTTCATTGTTCCTGTGCGAAGTGGAAGAGAAGAAGATGTATAGGTGTGCAAGGGAGGGAGAAGAAGTGCGCGGGTGAGGAAGAAGAATTGTGCAGATCTGAAGGGGAGAGAAAAAAATACGTAGGGGAGGGGATGCGATGGTGTGGCGCTGGGAAATTAAAATACGGAATAAAAAGGAAGAAAACAAGGGTTAATTGGTAATTTAGTCCTATTTAGGGAATAAATATTTACATAGTCCTATTTAAGAATTTCAGGAACAATTTAGTCCTATTTAGGGCAATATATCAAAATAGTGTTGTTAAACGGCCAGTTAGTTTTATCTTTTGCTCATGAGAGTGGTAGATATCTAGCTTCTATTTCTAATGAATATGAATCACCAAATTTGGACCACCATACACAAACTTGTGATAAAGAAAAAACAAGTATCATCGGTAGTATGTAGTCATAATCCACCAAAGGTTGTCATATCTCTCATTCCCTTTTTGTTCTTCATTACTTTATACGTAGTATTTTCTTGTCTTGAAATTTCTTTACTTGGTTGATTAAAAAAGATTTGTCATTTTCATTTAAAGTAATAAATGTCTAATACATATTATTTCTTTCTATCTACACAAATTTCAGCTCCAAAAAAAGTACTTTTTTATTATTCGCGCAGTTCAAAATTGTTCAACCTTTATGGGAAGATGGAAGTATGAATTTTATTTTTATATTTTTTAATTTTGTTATAACTTCAAAATAACAACACAAAAGAAGAAGAACAAAATGTTTTTCATAGCTATAATGTGGATATTGGAGCACACTATAATAATAGTATAATATAGATAGGGTTTTTTACAAAAATATTACTAAAATAAAACATATTTACATAAATATAACTATTCATTACTACAATGTAGTGTTGTGGTAACTAAAGCTCAAAACTTGAATATGAATTACTATGATTTCATTACTACTCTAGTCACTAATCATACTTTTGTAAATCATCTTTATTTTGGTCATATTTATGTAATTATTTCATATAGATAGTATTAGTGAAAACAGAATTTACATATGATCCATTCAAACGAGGCCTAATTACTCAAAAGATCGACTAGTTCATACAAGTTGGATAGACCTTATTGAAATAAAAGAAGAGGACATAAAACCAAAGTTGATGATTTATTTGGTACTCATATCATTTTCAATTTAATGCTCTTTGAAAACTAAGAGTCAAACAAATAAATAATTCCCAAACTAATGTTTGGTTAAAAGTATTTTCCAAATTACTGTTCAAATAATCAGGGTCAGGAGAGCCACTACTTCAAGTGGCGGCTTATAAGAAACGAAAGTAACGCACATATAGAGCAATGCTAGAGAGGAACATGCCACTTAAGAATTCCATCAATTAAAATCTCGGTTTTCTTTTAAAGTGGTATAATTTTTTTTATTTTTACTCCGATTGTTATAAAAAACATATCAAATTCATAACTTTTTATTATCTTTCATTTGAAACCAATATTCAATATATAAAACTAAAAAAATATTTTTACGATTTAAAAAGGAAATAATAAGTGTAAAATTATTTATTTAGTCTTATATATTCAATATTGATGTCAAATGAATGATAATAAAAAGTTATGAAATTTGATATATATTTTATAACAATCGGAGTACAAATAAAAAAAGTTATACCACTTTAAAAGAAAACAGAGATTTTAATTGGTGGCATTCTTAAATCTTAAGTGGCATGTTCCTCTCTAGCCTTGCTCTGTATGTGCGTCACTTTCGTTTCTTATAAGCCAGCGGCTCTCCTGACCCTGGTTATTTGAGCAGTATTTTGGGAAATACTTTTAACCAGACATTAATTTGGGAATTATTTATTTGTTTGACATTAATTTGGGAAAAAACTTGAAAACTAATAACTAAGTTATGAAAAAGAGGAAGATTTATTTTCATTTTTAAAATTAATATGATAGCTATTGGTACAATTACTTTTTTGATTGCTATATAATATATTCTGTTTCAAAGTAATTATATTGTTACAATAATTTTTTAAATTATTACATAATTTGGTATATTATTATAATATATTGTTATTTTTTATCTAATTCTTTTTAAAAAAGGAAATATGTGCATGTGACAACCAGTTTGAAACATTTCGAAAATGAATGTGAGAAAGTTATTTTGAGAAAAAAGTACTCGTATATTTCACTATTTCGAAGAAAGTAACGAATGAAAATTAAGTGCTACAGGCCAGCCCGAGACGACAAAGTGGCAAAATATAGATGGATCATCATCATTCTACAAAATATAAATAACAAGCGTGCATTTTGGCCAGAGAAAAAAAAAACAAGCGTGCAATTTTACTGATGACTGGTAAGATGGGAAACTTTTACTTTATGGAGACGTTTGGCAATTGGCGGTCGACGGTTGATTGTTGGCTGATTATGTTGGTTGATTGGTAACAGCGGATTCTGTTGGCTGTTTTGATGAGTTGATAATATTAGCTGTTTATAAAATAGTGTTTTGTTATATGATTGTTTACAATCGGCTCATAAATCGTAAAATTACTTTTAAGGACATCAAACAATTTGTTTTGTTTATTACGTAGTACTTACTTCTATATTACGTACTCCGTATATGTTTAACACATTTTGCTAAAATTATTAATACCACTTCTTAATTCGTTTTTATTTAAAAAAAATAAATATTTTATTTAAGGCATGATTTTACCATTTGTCTGGCCTTGCACATGATAAAGAGGATGGCTATGACAACCCTCTTTGCCATACCCTCCCAAGTGTTTATGAAAATGACTCTACCTATTTGTTTTTTTTCTTCCGCATAAGATATGGAAAAGGAAGTGCCTAATGAGAAAAGAAGGAAGGTAGTGTGGACAGAATAGGAACATTAGATAAATATAGAAACAGTCAAGTCCAAAACGCTGCATTCTTTGGGGGTGTTTGGTTAATGAACTATCAGCTATTTTTTGGCTGTTTTGACCAACATTTGGCCTTTTGACCAAATGAACCAGCAGAGCCGTCCATAGGGCCAAGGCACCTAGGCAGCCTAGGGCACCAAATTTAGATGGGACACCATTTTTTTTAATAAAGCTTCTATTATATTACCTTCATCCCAAATTGATTTGCAAATTTGACTTTTTCTTGGTCAAACAATTTCGTTTTTTCACTTAATTAGAATGTCAATTTTTAATTATATTCAAATTTGGACTTTACAACTGTGAAGAGATTTTTATGTAGTTTATGAATATGTAAATTTTAATTATTAAAAATTGAGTTAATTATCCATAGGAAAGATTGACTTTTATTATTGGTTGATAAAAAAAAATTGACTTTGCAAAACAAACTGGGACGGAGGGGGTAATAAGGTTGATCGGAACAATTGTACGATCGCCTCCGTTTGATATGCTTTTGGGTGGATTTTTTGGATGAAATTTTGTTAGCATGTTCCTCATGAAGTTAATATTATGCTCATAAAATTTTACCTTAAAATTCAATTAGGAAGTCAGTGAAATAAATTATTGAAAAACATTGTGTTTTATGTACATTTTTTGGCACATTTTTTTATATAATTTATTTAACTGACTTTCCGATTGTGCTTTAAGGTAAATTTTCATGGATATAATCTAAACTTCATGAAAAACATACCCACAAAGTTTATCAAAATATTCTACCCGAAAGAAACTCAAATGGAAGCGACCGGACGGCGGTTCCGGTCAGTCCATCTAGATCGAAAGATTTCTCATATATATATATATATATATATATATATATATATATATATTTATTTATTTATTTATTTTCTCACACACACATATTATACTTGGTCAGCCATTAACAAAAAATGAATAGGTTCCTCGCATAAAAATAAAAAAACAACTTTTATTATTTATTAATCTTTTACGGATTCTATTAATAGGTACAAGAAAATAAATCCGTTTTCTTTTCTTTGAAAAAAAGTTTGTGGTCTGGGGCACCAAAACTTGTAAAAACGGCCATTCACCAAATCTTTGGTTATATAGCTTTTTTATTTCTAAACAGCTACGTAGTACTCGTACAAAACTTGGCTTTTAGTTTTGGCCATTCACTTACTCTGTACGTCAATGCATCGTTGCTGCTATTTTTTTTGTTGCTATTTATTCCGATTCATACTAAAGCAACAATGGCTCCTGCATTTTATGGCCGATTCATACTAAAGTTGAGTTTTCTTACTACTTATCCCAATGGCTCCTGCTGATATTGGGTTATGCATCTTCCCAAAAAAAATTAGTTTTTCTAATACATTAAAAATAATACCGAGTATGTAAAAGAAATATTGCTTCTGATAATATTTTTATAATTTTTGTAAATCATAAAAACGGTTATGAGCTAATCATGCAAATAACATTTTTTGAAAGAAAGAAATTTATAATTTTTTTTATGCAAATAACATTAACAAAAATTATGATACGTATGTAAAAGTAGTTAGTTAAAAAAAAATTAATTCATGTCCTTAATAGTCATTTAAAAAGTGATCAGCTAATTGTTAACGACCATTTAACCAAACACCACTTTACAAACTGTTGGTACTATCGGCTGATCAAAACAGCCAACATAATCCGTTGTTATCAATCGGCCAACACAATGAGTCAACAGCCATCAGCCATTTGCCAAACACCCCCTTTAGCTTTTCAAATTTTGGCTGTTTGGAATAAAAAGCCAAGTCAAAAGGTCAAGTAACCAAACACCTCAATTAGTTGTTTATCTGGTCAAAAAGCTAAATAGTGGTCAAATCAGCCAAAAAATGGTTGTTATCCTCCTAACCAAACACCCTTATATGTAAAAGTGAAGAAAAACGATGTTTGTACAATGGTACACGTTTTTGTAAACAACATTTTACATGTCAATCTAATTGTTTGTGCACACACAATTTCTTTTCGTTTTGTGAAGAGAATTTCTTTTCGCACTGATAATTTTTTTTTGTTTGTGCCACAGACAAAAAATATGTCGGTGCGAAAGATAAGTCCCTTTATAAAAAGAAAAATATATTTGTGCACAAACAATTCGACCAACGTGTATAATAATGTGTACAAAAAACGCATACACGAAATAGGATTGAAAAGTAAAATGTAGGAATAGGAAGTTTTATATCGTTCGATTTGTTTGGTAGACCATAGGATTTTTGTTTTTGTTTGGTAATATAAAATATTTTGTACTCCGTATATTTTTTCTGAGGCACTCTAATTAAGAAGGATCTGAATCAACAAGGCAACAAGTAAGCGAATGAATGGATGGATGCATTGAAGATCAATCATCCTAACCAATATACCATGAATCAACAAGGCAACAAGTAAGCGAATGAATGGATGGATGCATTGAAGATCAATCATCCTAACCAATATACCAAGAATCCGCCTGACAATCAAATCTCTTTCCTTTTAAACCTCTTTGATCTATATTTCAAGTTCAACCACTACAAAATCTCACCAAAAAGTTTTAGGAAGAGGAGCAAATTTATGTCCTCTGTCCTCAAGAACAGGAGTCCGGTAATATCTCCTGGCTCTATGTACCTTCAATTTAATAGACGGTATCTTCCGCGCGATTGCATGCCAGATCATCTGGACGGCGTCATCTCCCTTTGAAGGGTAACGATACTCGAACAGATTCTCAACCTCTTTGAGCTTGGTCCACATCTTAGTCCACTCCTCTCTCCCGACACTCCGAATGAAGTTCAAGAGAAAATTCTCTTTGAGAGCATCTTCTGTTCTGACAAAAACACAAAACTCCGAATAGTTGATTATGTCTTCATAAGGAAGCTCTATGTCGTCGCTGATGATGACAGGGACACAGTGGCTTGCAATGGCATCAAAGAGACGGTTGGAAGAGGGAGTGTCTCCGGCAATGTTGAGGCAGAATTTGGAGGATTGCATCCCAAGTGTTGCTTGTTGTATCCCATCCTTTTGAATGTTTCCAAATGAGAAATGTACATCTTTTTCATCCTTTAGCATATAGAACAGCTCTTGCCTGACAAATCCACCCTAAGAAAGAGCAATAACATCATCAGGCATTCAGGCATCACTATCCAGTCATTAATTCTAACAAGTTGAGGTCATTAAATTACAGTGTCAATTAGTTGAATATATCAAATTACTTAATTGTTTAAATTCATTCAGAAAAACATTGGCAATATGGTTCATCATGTACTTGGAGGGAAGGGGATGATAGATTTTGGTTGTATTGATTAATTTATACCATAGTATTTGATTTAATAGTCTTAAACTACAAATGAATATATGAAGGGTAACAAGTAAGCGAATGAATGGATGGATGGAGAATATATTTCTATATTACGTTTCATCTTCACTTTTTTCTCCAACCATCTATATGCAAGAAATGTTGTGTGTGCCTTTTATGTTTCATCTTCAATTTCACTTAATAAAAAAATAACACTTCACCCATTCTTTACCCTCCGGAATCCCCAAACCAAACAAGCCCTAAATGCCAAATCAAAGAAGTCCAATATGGTTTCATCATCATCAGAGCCTAATCCCTGACTAGTAGGGGTTAGAAAAGAACCAAAATATGGTTACTAAATCTATAACTTAAAAATAAACAGGGTAGGATCCCTTTCAAATTCGCACCATACCACACTCCATCAATGAGAGAGTGGCAACATCGTATCAGTACTTCATGGTCAAAAGGCCTAAAGAAAATGCCTTTCTCTTGAGTGCAATTTGACATTAAGGGTACTTTTGCTAGCAGTTACTCCCTCCATCCTAGAAAATTCTTCCAACTTTCCTTTTTGGGACGTCCCGGAAAATTCTTCCAACTTCACCTTTTTTATTATTTGTGTGGCTCACATTCATTTCACTTTTTTCTTACACAACTACAACCACACATTTCCACTTTATTCCCTCTTTCTTAAACTCCGATCCAAGTCAAACTTGGAAGAATTTTCTGGGACGGAGGGAGTATTTGACTTAAATGGCTGAATCTTTTGAATTTTTTTGGAAGGAAAAGTTTGGAAACATTTATCTCGGCAAAATTTATATGCCAAAAGCTAGATATTCTGAAGAACCTACCAAAATGGGCCTAAACACATGCAGATAACTCCAGCATTAATTACTTTTATCTTGCAGTATTAACATTGAACTAAATGCTATTTTCACTCTTTCAATATTTCCTATAATATCTACTTAAAAGTCTCAAGTCCACTCCCTATCACTATTTGATCAACACACCTACTACTAAAGGCAAACCAAGCAACATCACATATGGTAAGATTGAAGCATAAACACACAATCCCTTACAATATAACCTGATTCATAAAATAATGAGGCAACAAAAAAAAAGAAAATAACACAAATAGATGTGAAAGCGCATTGAATACTTCACTTACATCCTTCCTATATATAGCTCCCTGGAAGTATAGCAAAGTAGGACGGCTATTAAAATCAGACGAGTCATTCACATAGTTCCCAATCACGTGCTTGTAAGGGGCAATCACATCCTTCTCAACATTAGCCACAGATGGAGGATACCTTCCGAAGTCTGAGAGGATGAACATTGCTGGCCAGAGCTTTGTTCTTGCATCTATCAAGCTATTAGGATGATGGGCGAGGACGATATGGTCTTTTCCGCCTGATCTCTTCCATTCTTCTTGACTCG